CCCAGGAGTTGGAGGTTGCTGTGAGCGTGATGCCATGGCACTCTACCCAGGGGGATAGCTTGAGGCTCCGTCTCAAAAAAAAAAAAAAAAAAAATAATAAGAGATGGTACCCGCAAATGCAAACTTGGTTCTCTAGCTGCCTCTTGTTCTGATCCCAATGCAGACATCACATCTATAAAATGTTATTTACAGATATATTGGTAAGAACATTTTTACCAATATGTATGAAATTTAAATACATATGCAACTCTATCTCCATTTATGAATATTTCAATGAAATAAAATTAATAACATAAACCAATTTCAGAGGGTTTAAGTGTTTTCAGGAAGATGCTGGGAGCATAAGAAAGATAGCAAAAAGAAGATTTAAAAGAAATGGATATATTTGTGTCTAAGCCTGCTAATTTTTTACAATAGCATTTTAACATTAAACATTTTTCAGAGATATTTTCTAACTTACCACCTCTACTATTTTTATACACAAAAATAAAATTCTCATTACTTGTTTGCTTGAGTGAGGCACATTCAACAATACCAATACCAGTTTGTTTTTTTCCCGTGGCTTGTTTTCTTGTTCCCTCCTATTCGAAAAAATAAATAAATAAATAAAGCTTCAGAAATGTATTTATTCAGTCAAACACTGATTCGATCTTTGAGACAAAAAACATTCACTGTGTTTATGCAACCCTGGCACTATCCTGGGAGAATCTGAAAAGAGAAATAGAAGACAGCTGTGCTCTGTAATTTAGTGGGCAGAGAGACACACAGGAAAGGTAAGGAGGCACATGTCCTACAGTCATGGTGAGTAAGCAGAGCAAAGGCACAATGAGAGCACAGACCACAGGCAGCTCTGTTGGGGCAGCTTGGGAGAGATGGGGCCAAAGCTTGACAGACACCACGTGCAGCATGAGAGCGGGAGGTGGTCTAGACAGGAGTGTGAGCAGAAGGCTGAGGCACTAAACAACACCGCACCAAAGTAATGTGGTCAAACTGGGACAGTGACAGGAGAGGAGACAAAGAGAGACACTGGGAGACTCAGGTCAAATGACAAAGCACATGTGTCAAGCTAGCATGTGAGCCTTCTCCTTCATGTAATGGTGTGTACTCAACAAGCAGATGCATTAGACCATAACTGATATATTTCAGAAATGTCACGCTGGCAGCAATGTAAACACAGACAAACAGAGCGGGCAAAACTAGAAAAGAAGAGTTCAAGATTATAAGTCAGAGAGTAAATTACAGCAATAAGACATGAAAATTGTAGGCAGGTAGAAAACACAGAACTCGGCAAGTGACTGAATTGGTGACTTGAGAGAGGGCTGGAGTGTAGGGTTCCTCATCCTTCCATGTGTCGGTGCTCTCTGTGGGGTGTTTCTTGGATGGGGAACCCAGATGATAGAGGAGCCTACAAAGGGTCAGGAAACAGACAGGGAAGGGCCAAGGGCAGTGTCTTTGGTTAGGAACTTATCAAATTTGAGGTGCATGGAGGACTAAGAAGACAGATCTGTATAAAATAGAAGCAGATGACTTTAGTCTGGAGAAGCATATGGTGTTAAGAAGATGAAATTTGAAAGATAAACTAAACTGGTAGAATTAAATAATGCTCTATTACTATATTTTTTTTCAGCCCATTCATTTGTTCCATCTCAACCTTCTCAAAGTATCGATCATTTGTTATGTAAACAAATAGAAAAACACATTCAACTAGTGATATTTCTACTAGGTGGTTTTCTGTGATCAACATTTCATGGCAAACATAAAATGAGAGTTAGACCACTGTTAAATTCTAACAGTAAATACTACACAAAACTAGATTCAGAGTGAGAAAATTAATGTTACAAGAGATAATTCTACCTTGGTGTCAGAGTCAAAGTCTTCGTGCTCTGGAGTATGCCGTAAGTCCTCACCAGCATCCAGAGTGCCAGAAATG